ACACACACACACACAGAAACACACACACACACACACACACACACACACACACACACACACACACACACACACACAGACTAGAGAAACTAGTTCCCCATTTGACAAACGAACACAAAGACTTGAACCAGATAAATCAAAAGGGCAAACTGAAGTAGTGCTCAGACCCTAACTACCAGTCACTCTGATAATCCACTAATGTAATGCTCAGAGGACTAGCACTAGTCAACGCATGTCTTGAGTTAACAGCTGCTAGTGATGTCCCGCTAATCATAAACACAAGAGGATCATTCATCTTTGACAGCAATTTTTTTTCAGTATTAAATATGCATGCAAATTACAGCGAAGTGCAACAGTTTCCATACGGTGTTCGGCAGTGATCAAAAATTACTTAAACATTAAATTTTGAATCGATTTCTTGTAAACTCAGGATCACAGAACTCGCTTCTCCACTGTGAATAAAGCGCCATCTGAATCCATGAGTTTTATCGCTGAGGCTGAGGTCCACATGAGAAACAACTACCGTCTGAATAGGGTTTTCTTAGACCAGCATCATCACATCCAGAGGCAGTGGAGCGTGGCGTTTGCTCAGACCCTAAACGAGGCAGCAGTAGTCGAGCAGTTAAACTCACTCACCTCTTCTCTGTCGGTCTCCTGCGCTCCCTCCTCTTGTGTCAGAGCCGCCAGCTGATTGGCTCTCTGCTCCATCAGACTGATGTACAGGATGGGATTGGACAGGGCCTCAATCACGTCTGACACAAACACAACAGACGTTACAGCACGCATCAAAACACCAGAATACATGCTGAAGCTCTTTCAGTCTTAAAGTACAACACTGAGGAAAAGTGTAGAAGCATAACGAAGCTGTGATTTATCTCCGACTCTGATTTACCTGCAAAGGTTTCTGGGACGTAGTCCTTGACCTCAGTGTAGATGAAGACGGACGGAAGCGTCAGCGTCTGGTTCTTCTCGTTCCTCAGACTGATGTAATGATATCCTGCAGCAGAGAGACGCACACTTTAATGAGCGCGATCTGTCCTCGTGCACTTTCACACCCAGAGAATCAAGCGGATACTTGCCGGGTCGGATGGCACACACTGGGATGATGCGATGGCCGATAAACTTCCCGTTCTCTTCGTACACAGCTATCCTCAATGATGCCAGCGTGGGAAGAACCACCTGAAACATACGGCTCATCAGAATCAAAGCGTCTGAAGGAGAATCTGCCTGATGATGGCTCAGTGCTCGTCACTGCAGACGTACTCTTTTGAAGACCACTGGATCTTCATCCCACACCGGATTGACGGCATTGCCTTGAGACGTTTTGGTCTTAAACGCTTTCCGTTTGGTGTCCACCGGCAGGCCGAACATTTCCACCTCCACGTAAACACCGACTCTCTTATCGGACAGAAACTGGCCGGATATGATCTGAGAAAGACACAGAAACCTTATTCAACACTGCATGAACTGCAGGAGCTCCCAGATATTCACTCTCATCTGCTGGATTTGACAGGAGCTAGAGATGCAGTGAAACATCTCTATCATCTGGATACTTACTGGCCAAAAACCAAACGTCTTTGATTTCAATGAGCCTTTTGATTCAAGCTCGACAGCATATATATATATATATATGTATTAGTGACTGCAGCAACTGCCCTCTAGTGGTGTGATCTTCAAAAACATACAGACTCCAACAACTATTACAAATACCTGTAAAGTACACTGACTACTGCATAGAAAAAAATACAGAAAAATATGCCAATAATGTAATTTTGACTTGAATCAAATGTTTTTGACACTTTGTGCTGTGCAGGACTCAATCAATCTCGAGCTGATTTCACATCCACAGCTTCGTAAAGACTGGTCAGTCTGAATGACACGCATCACAGAAAACACTGCTCTGAAACCGTTTCATTATCGACATGATGCTCACAACAAAAACACACCATAGCTGTAAGTCTGCAAACAGGAAAGTCACAGCTCAGATTTTAAGGGTCATCAGAATAATCTCATTGATCTCCTCTTTTTAATTTGCACAGACGCATTATAGATGCATAAATATACACTACCGGTCAAAAGTTTGGGATCAGTGAGACTTGTAATGTGTTTAAAGAAGCATCTTCTGCTCATCACGGCTGCATTTATTTGATCAGAAATACAGAAAAAACAGTAATCTTGCAAAATGTTATTACAATATAAAATAATGGTTTCTATTTTAATATCCATTAAAGTGTGATATATTTCTGTGATGTGCAGCTGTATTTTCAGCATCATTCCTCCAGTCTTCAGTGTCACATGATCTTCAGAAATCAGTATAATATGCTGCTTTATTATTAGAGTTATCAACAGTTGTGCTGCACAATATTGTTTTGGAAGCTGTGATACTTATTTTAGTTAAAAAGAAGAGCGTTTATTTAAAACAGAAATCTTTTCTAACAATATACGCTACCGTTCAAAAGTTTGGGGTCGGTACATTTTTATTCTTTCTTTTTTTGAAAGAAATGAAAACTTTTATTCAGCGAGGACGTGTTAAACTGTTAAGAAGTGACAGCAAATATTTATATTGTGAGAAAAGATTTATATTTTGAATAAATGCTCTTCTTTTTAACTTTTTATTCATCAAAGAATCCTGAAAAAAGTATCAGTTTCCCAAAACAATATTGTGCAGCACAACTGATAATAAAGCAGCATATTATACTGATTTCTGAAGATCATGTGGCACTGAAGACTGGAGGAATGATGCTGAAAATACAGCTGCGCATCACAGAAATATATCACACTTTAATGGATATTAAAATAGAAACCATTATTTTATATTGTAATAACATTTTGCAAGATTACTGTTTTTTCTGTATTTCTGATCAAATAAATGCAGCCGTGATGAGCAGAAGATGCTTCTTTAAACACATTACAAGTCTTACTGATCCCACACTTATGACCAGCAGTGTGTATATTCAAATAGCTTGAAATGAAATGTTGCAAATAACCAATCGAGAAAAATAAGCTTGATTCAAACAATCAAGAAGGTTAATGGGATGTATTTTTATTACTCAAATGTGAAACAGCTCATTTTTCTTTCCTTGTAAAACTGAACCAAAAGCACCATTTATTAAAGCGTTTAAGTGTGTATATTGTTTAATGACGTAATTAAATCTCGTTAAACTTTCATTTTCTCTAGCGATGACCCAAAATAAAAATGGGCCGCAAACTGTCACTGATTAAACCTCTACATATGATATCATGATCCATACTTCATACACATACTGCACTTCGTCTCCTTTTGCAGATATGACGTATCGTTCTACATCCCGAGTGAAGACATTCGCTCACCTTCACAGACAGCGTGTGCGCTACGATCCCGTCGACTGTATTCTGAGTGAACGGGTCAAACTGTTTGTCCGTCCGTCGCATGAACTCTGGCTTCAGTCTGTAGCCGCACTTCCCGTTGTACTCAAAGATGCCCAGATTCAGCTGCATGGGCAGATCTGCCAATCACACACACACAGATGGAAACCAAGCACATTAGTGCTAATACATGACCAAACCAGTCAATAATCGGGACGGTGCGCTGGGACGGAGATGCACAGAAGAGAAGAGGGCATTTCTATGAGCAACTCCCATCTGAAGAAAAGCTTCATATTACAGGCTTTAAACAAGCACACAGTTTAAAGTGGCTTTGACCTGTCAGGGGAGTGAGCTGAAGGTACCTATGGTCTGGAAGTTCAGAGCGACCAGCTGACATCCGGCGTTCCAGAAGACCTGAGGCATGTAGTTCGAGGAGTCCACTCGAGTTCCTTTGGGATAAATTCTGCTCAGCTGCAGTTTATTATACCTGCGTGAAGGAGTTAAGTTTCTCTGACAGAGGATGGAAAGAGCTTTTACACCTTTTACACAATTTCACTTCATTTGAAAGACTGTTCCACCTGCAAAAGTGCAATAAACACAAAAGATACTCGACGAACTCCACGGGCGATTCTTTGAGCAGCTCCAGCGCTTTGGTCTCCACAAACGATGACATTTCATAACTTCGATCGATTTCTGTGGCAGACGAATGAGAAGAGTTACTGATCTTACAGCGTAGCTGCGTCAAACACATCTCAATAACTGACTGACTTACTTTTGCACGTCTCGAAGGAGTTGAATTTAACAGGCTGAATGTAGTTGACTAAGTTGGACATCTCCTCTGTGGCGAAGGCTTCATTTACCGTCCCCTACAGACAGCAGAGACACGCGTCACTCCAGTGGCGTACAGATCCAGACTCACACGCTAACTGTTCCAGGAGTAACCATTCAAAATGAAAATGTCCTCAATCCTGACCAACAGAAAATGTCGACACACTGAGCAATGAAAGCCGGAGTGCTGCTCTTGTGATATAATGCTCAAATCACGAATTCAATCTCGTATAGAACCAAATTATGACATGAGTATTGTTACACCCCGCAATCTAGTGTGAATGGAGAGTATTTACTGAGATCTGATGCTGTGCTGCACAGAAAGACCTCTAGATGACACTGTACACACACTCCCTCACTCACACTTACACACCCACACTCTCACACACACTCACTCACTCACACTCTCTCTCTCACACACTCTCTCACTCACACACACACTCACACACACACTCTCTCTCTCACACACTCTCTCACACACTCACTCACTCACACACACACTCACACACACTCTCTCACACACACACACACACACTCCACACTCACTCACACACACACACCCACACTCACTCACACACACACACCCACACTCTCTCACACACACACACACACACACTCACTCACACACACACACCCACACTCACTCACACACACACACCCACACTCTCTCACACACACACCCACACTCTCTCACACACACACACCCACTCTCTCACACACTCTCTCTCACACACACACACACACACACACACACACACTCTCTCACACACACACTCTCTCACACACACACACACACTCACGTCTGGTGCATTAAGCATTATAAATAAGGGTGACCTGACTTGACGCACACATCACTTGACAAATATGTGTATAATTCTCAGAAAACCAAACCTTCATGACTTAATTTCTTCTGTGAAACAGCGTTTCGGTTTGTTGTTCCACAGAAAAAAGTAATTCAGGTTTGAAAAACATTAGGGAGAGTAAATTGATAACTACAAATAGTTTTGTATCTCAGGTCCCAATCGTTGGAATAAACAGTTGTAAACAATCATAACTCATGCGCCTCCTGCAGGAAGAAAAACCCATGAAAACATTACCTAGAAACACTCTAGAGCACTCCGATGACACACAGCCCGTAAACATCACTTACCTCATCCATGGACTTCTTACTTTCATCGTTATCTTCCTCCGCATCACTCTCTGCGTCCGCTTCTGCTGATCAACACACGACACGGACTGACATCACTAACCAGTCTGAGGTGCACGGCTCTTTTTACACGCTTCACGTTCAAACACTAACCTTTATCATCGGCCAGACTTGCGTTGCGTGACAGCGACCCTGCCGTTTTATCAATCGACTTCATTCTCTGCAATCTTCTTTCGCCTGCCTCGTTCCCGTCTGCATGAATGCTGATGTGAATCTCCTGATGTGTCGACCCTGTTACAAAACACATGTACGGGTTATTATTCAAGACTGGTTAGTGTCTGACCTGACCCACAGAGACAAGGCAAAACACCAAGTCCATGATAACTATTGGTCAGCAGGGGGCAGCGAGAGACCAGCAGCAGGACAGGAGAATCTGTAAACTTGACTTGAGTTTACACACCAGCAGTTTTATTAGCTGATGAAAAGAATGATCTCTAAACATGAATCTGAAGGATCAGCATCCTGAGGATGCACCGCACTCAAAAGCATTAGTGCTTCAAAAAAAAAAAACCCTTAAATGCTCACAGTGTGGCTCAGCTGACTCTCTGATGACTGCAGAATGAGGTGTTTTTGTGTGTGCACCTGTGCTGGGAGACGAGGGCTCACACATGCTGGACGTGTCGCTGCAGGGGTTGGACGTTTGCTCGAAGAGCTTCTTCTTAGCGCTGCCGTCAGCTTTGTGGGAACTCTTCTTGTTCTTGATGAGGATTTTGCCCATCAGGTCCACGGGGCTGGGCAGAGGAACACCGGCCTCCAACTGCACACACCAGAAAGACCCAGAGAAATGTGTCGCTGGATAGTGATTGACATGCATGAACCCTGTGTCTCCAAATGATCATTTTATAGGTTAGAATGAACAAAAACTCTTCTGTAAATATGATAAAGACAGACAGATAGATAGATAGATGCATAGATAGATAAATACATAAACTGATTCATAGGGCCCTATATATGTCAAGTGTTCCTGGTCACATGATTGATGATTCATTATATTATATTTACATGCACACTCTTCAAAAACCTGTAACACTATAGATGAACATGAGGAAGAGTAAATTATGACAGAATGATGATTTCTGGGTGAACGATCCCTTTAATGGAGAAGTTACAAATTGGCATTCATACGACTCCAGATCACTCATGAAGAAGAAACTCGAGGAAACGACACTTTGATGGACATTTCTGATGGACATTCCTCCATCAGATTCCCCATACTACGACGATGAAGTATTCCACACTTTACAGGAAGAAACTCATCAATATCAAACTCTGGGGAAAATTTTACTATGTGGAGATTTAAATGCTCGAACTGGCTCAGAATTAGACTATATTGATAATTCAGGAGATAAACATCTGTTCACACATATACCCCAAGGTCTCTTCAGTACCCTACCTAGAAGAAATAACCAGGATACTGGAGTCAATAGGCACGGGAGAGAGCTAGCCCACCTTTGTCAAACTTTAGGTCTTTATATGCTCAATGGTAGAATCAAAGGAGATTCCTGCGGACAATTCACCTATAGCTCAGATCTGGGGAACAGTGTTGTAGATTATGCCATATCAAATATAAGCCCTTCCCATTTCAGTGCATTTACCGTCAAAGCCCAGTCGCCCCTGTCTGATCACAGCCAGATCAATCTTCTCATTAAAGGGGAAAACAGCAAATCAAGGGACATTCATAAAAAGCCAATTCATATATAAAATGTTAAGATGTTCTAATGTAAATGTTCAGATGTTAAATCATTCTCTTTGTTGTCTTAATGCTTTGGCAATACAACATTTATTTTTGTCATGCCAATAAAGCTATTTGAATTGAATTGAGAGAGAGAGAGTGTGTGTGTGTGTGTGTGAGTGTGTGTGTGT